GGGGGGGGGGGGGCGGATGACCCGCAGCTGCATCTTTCTGCCCGCCCAAGAAAACGAATAACTCCATTCTTAGAGTCTGCTTTTTGAAAATTAGGAACGCCTGTGCGTGCTCCGATAGCGCCTGGTGGGTAGGCAGCATTTCGTCTGCCGTGGACGCGTGTACGGCGGGGTGGCCTACCCAAGGTCTCGCAGGCGCTGAGCCCGCGTGAATTGCCAAGTGAAACTGAGAGAAAAACATTTGGGAGCGCGAAATTTTCGTCGATATTTGCGGTAAAATTGCCACCTATGGAACAGTCGCCAATTCCCGGCCGCATGTACCCGTTGCCTTTCTGCCTCGGCCGTTGCTGCTGCTGCTGTCGCTCTCTGCGCACCCAGTCGTTCACCCTCCAGGAGGCGCCCAAGGCCGTCGGGCCGGCCAGCGCGCGCGCCAGGAGCCAAGGCCGCGGTGTCTGTGGCCGGGCTGTGGCCCCTCACCTCCTCCGACACTACAACTGGGGATGTCGCCCGGCGTGGCGTGGCTGCGTGATTGCGACGGCGGTCGATGGGAATGATGGTCAAATTTTATATATAAATTGTGCTGGTTCATCTCCCTTCCCGACGCCGGCGCTCTCGTCGTCGGCGTCGTCCTGCTCTTTCGGTCCCCGTGCCTCGCCCGTGTCAAGGGCGTCGCGGCCCCGCCTGCATCTGCACGCCGACGATGGCCTCCCCCCCCCCACCTCCTGCTCCCCGGCCGGCGCTAGGAGGCACTACGCCTTATATAGTTGCGACCGCTCCGGCCGCCGCGGGGCCCCGGCCCCCGGGGCCCGCTCGTCCGGCGAGTTCTCCAGTGCCTTAGTTTTACGCCGCCGGTACGGGGGGCAGAGACCGGGGAAGTGGGGGAGGAGAGGGGAGCATGCGGAAGACCTTTGCGTCCGCCGTCGTCGTCGTCGTCTGCACAAGCGACGTCCGAGTCAGCCGCCGCCGTACCGCTGCAACCACCATCACCTCGTAACCTCGTACGTTTCGTACGCAGCGCCGGGCAGAGCATGGAGATGGTGCAGTAGTGCGCGGTGCGGGGCATCGTCACTTTCCCGCGTCCCCCCCGGACGTGTCGCATTGACGGGACTTCCCTGCCACCCCCATACCTCGTGTCGTCACGTGGCTGGCAGCACGTCCGCCTCCGCGGTGAGGCCCCGTCCGCCCCCCGCCCGCCGCCCGCCGCACCACACCGTCTGCTGTGTTTATGCGCGGTTTTAACAAAGTGGTGATAAAAACTACTACGATTCCTAGCTCCTCCTGACGGGCTGCCTCCTCTCCTCTCTGCCTGCCGCTGCGGCTGCCGGGCGCTGCTGCTGCTGCGCGGGGCCAGGCGACAGTCCGGTTATGGGATGGCTGGGCTTGGCTCGGGTGGGTGTGTGTGACTGAGTGAGGCGAGTCCTCTTCCGTATGTCCGCGCGAGCACGTATCCGCGTGCATGTATGAGTGTGTTTGTGTCTGTGTGTGTGAGTGTGTGTTTGTGTCTGGGTGTGCTCGTGTGTGCGCAACCAGAAAAAAAATCGACCGAAAACCAAAAATTAAAGAAGAACAACCGAGCGGACATGGGCAGTTTGGGCGATGACACGGACCCACTGCTACGTCGTCGTTGGCCGGTCCTGATGGTGGTCCTGGTCGGCTGCGGGATGTTTGTGAAGTCATATACCAACGTCATTTTACTAGCGTTTGTCTCGTCGCTTTTACTCTGCTGATGAGTGGTTCGCCGTTGTTGGTTTTTTTGGTCGGCAGCAGTATAAGATTTTTTGAGAGTGTGTGACGGACGTGACCGCACACCTGCCTATAGCGCCTCGAGGTGGTCCCCCACTATGGCCGACCACAGACGTGCCGAGCACTGTTGGAAGAGAGTGAGAGACAGAGAGAGAGAGAGAGAGAGAGAGAGAGAGAGACGAAGAGGCCGGGGCGAAGAGATAAACACACCGTGTCAATAAACTTGACACTGCCTTCTCTTCACACCTCGTATTTTTGTGCTTACATAATTTCGGCCAATAATTCTTTGTCTATAGTTGCAGTTATAAGTGGGGTCGCAAACTTGTCGGACGGCCGCGTGGCGCTTACGCGACGTACTTTTCCGCCGCCTTTTGCCGGCCATTGTCTCGCTTGCCACACGCCACTCCACTCAGCTAATCGCTGATGACTTATTACCGACTATTGGTCTCATGCGATACCCGCACCGACCGACCGGCCGACCGGCGGACCGGGTACTCTCAGACCAAAAGGCGCGCGGGAAAATTTGAGCGTCACAATAAGGATGATTCGGTACTTTTTTGTGTGCGCGCCTCGCTTGTTTCGGTGGTGGCGTAGAGACTATTGTGGTACCCGGTCCAGCAGCGGCAGCGGTGTGGCCGCGGGACTTCCCCCGCGGCCGGGGCGGCGGACCGGGTACCCGGCCGTACCCGGCGGTACCCGGTGTGGGTGCGTCACGGCGGCGGCCATACGGCGGCGCTGCCGGTGGTGATGGTGCGTTGTTGTTGTCAGTCGGTCAGCAGCAGCCGGAGCGCCGGCCGGTGTGCTGTGTGCTCATGTCGCGGAGGTGCCATGGGACGGAGCGGCGCGCGCCAGCGTCCTGATGGTGCCGAGGGCCGCGGACATGGACGCGCCCGCCGGTGGTGCCGTGTGGTCAGTGTTTGCGGTGGTAGTGGTGGTCGTGGTCGTGGTCGCGGCTGGAGAGCAAAGCCGAGCCCAGCCGTTTGTGACCGCGAGGAAAACTGAAGTGCAATTGTAAAATTCACGGTGTCGCGTCGATTTCTTTTCTTTTCTTTTCTTTTCTTTTCTTTTCTTTTCTTTTCTTTTCTTTTCTTTTCTTTTCTTTTCTTTTCTTTTCTTTTCTTTTCTTTTCT